TTCCTGCCGCTGAGCGAAAGAATGGCTAACCTCCGTCGATGGCCACTCTCCCTGCCGTCTTCTTGCATACTCTCGATGCCCGGGTGTCGTTGTTTTTATTTTATCGCGCCGCGGGTTCTCGAGAGGAGCCGCCCGACGATGGCTCCTTCGCGTCGCGAGCTAACATCGCGATCTTCGGCGATTTTCAGAGCGGAAACGCTCTGTTACCGTAAAAAGAAGAAAAGAAGCAAAGAAACGAAGATTATTCGCTAGTCTCTTTATTTAACAGCCGTACTACTAGACATTTGAGCACGGCGACCATTCACGATGGGAGAACGAACGATCGTCTTGGGAATCGGCCGGGCGAACAAAGAAATCTTGTGACGACGATCCACCGACCACGGCCGCATTGTTCGTCGATAACGATATCACTCTGGAAACAGTGATTCGTCATTGTCGCGTCTCTAATTGGGTTAATGCGTTTCGCGGCGTACCCTTTCTCTTCGGCATTCGAAGGAATGCCAATTATCGGTAGTTACGGTGGTGGTGGACCGTTGTGTTCTTTATTCGTTCGATGAAACGAATGGGCCGGAAAGAACAAAAAAGAGAAGGAAACCTAATTCGTTCGATCGAGGGAAGATAATGAACTTCTTTCTCTATTTAATTTTTGTGATTCACTCTCTTGCAGAATGCTAAAGACATTAGTAAAAATTTAGTTTTACATAAATAATAGAAAAATAATTCTACACGTTATATTTGTATATATTATTATAAATTCGTGGATGAATTAATCGCAGCAACGACGATATCAAAAATATAAATATTGGTCTACAACGAAATATATTATTTGATCTTAAATAAAATATTTCTTTTCTAAAACATCAATTTTAATATATCACTGAAAGGTTGAAATGTCTCTTTAAATCTCAATTTATTGGAACCTTTACGATATCGTATGTAACTTAAAATTTTTTATTCAAATAAAGTAGAGTAACTTTTAATAAAATTATTGGTATCAAATAGAATTATATTTGAAGTTATAAAAATTATTATTCGTTACAGTCATTTACAACACAAGTTTGTTAAAGCAATCATACTGTTTGTTATTGATTAAATGAATAATTTTTAAGTTACAGTTCTTCCGTAAAAATAATTTAAATCTATTCACAGATAGAAATAGAAATCAATCTGATTTGCGTCGATTTGAACTCGAATCATGTAAAATGTCAACTCTCTCCAAGTAGTGAATTATTCGGGCAACCGGAATTATTCCGGTCGTGTCGTTAATCGAATTTATTATTCGGCGACGACAACACCCGGTCTCCGCGGGTTGTTCGATTAACGAAAAACGTAGGGAACGAACCGATGGCGAAAGATAGATTTCAATTATTTGCCCGGCGTGCCCCGCGCACGTCAGATTCCGGCTCTAATAGGAGGCTGCATCCGGGGAACCGTGTGCACTCCTAAAATCGATTTCCATTAATTCGAGGAAAGCCATTATATTCCGCTCTGAGAATATGTATATAGCCGAATCTCTCCGCGTTCTCCGCGTTATGTCATTCGGAGGTGTATCAACGCGGATATGCCTTTCGCGCGATATTACCTCGCGTAATCTATCTATCGCGCGGTCGCTTCTGCTTATTAACTCGCCGCAACAGGAGCAACGCCGGCTCCACTCGGTCCAGCAATCGTTGCGAGCAATTCGTAGCGTTACGGTTCCGTCGTTTCGGGCGAGTAACCTCGTCGGTCGGTTTTAGAACCGTTCGACAAATTACACACTCCTGCTCCGTGAGTCTCTGCTAACACTTGCTACAGATTTTGCGCCCCGAGTTGAATGTATTGATTCACCTTTGAGTGGTTTACAAAGTTTGACTCGCAACAGGGTGAATCTGATTTCCAATAAGGTAAATTTTATTTCACAAAAGAGGTGACTATGATCTACAAAAGCGTTATCTACAATTCATAATAGAAACGTGAATGTAATTTGCGGAAGGTTTGAAAAACCTGTATATTTGCATCGTAGTCTGAGAAAAATGAAATAATTATTGAAAAATGCGAACGAATTTTTTCCTCGTTTAAAGATACACCAAGGAAAGGATACTGCATAAATATTTGAACTTCTTAGTTCAGAAAATTAAAAAAATATTTTCTTTTCATTGAAGAAACCGCCGTGTTTCTTCCATTACAGTTTCCATTATTCTTGACATTCGTGCAATCAGTTTTTTGCAAGTTTCTACCAATTTGTTATTCCACTTTTGCTGCGGAATGTTCTACAAATCTGTTTTCGTAGTAGAACAATATTTTCGTATCTACCTAACTAGTTCGTCCCTCAAAGTTTCTCAATGAGGTTCAAGTTGGTAAATTGGGCCACTTCACATAATTTTCAGTCAGTCATTACGTTAAAGTTGGTTTAAATTAATTAATTTGTGCATATTTTTGACGTGCATTTAATTCGTCCCAAAATTTGGGGCTCAAGTTGGGAAAGGAGTTAATAAAAATTTTTCAACAGCTGCACACTCGAAGGCCACTTTCTGAAAGTCACCGTCTCACAGTCGCAACTCATGAAAACTCTTGACAATGAATGTCCTAAGACTCACGAGTGCGTGTCTCTTTGTCGCGCGTTTCGCCATCGTCTTCGTTGCGGGGATCGTTTCTCGAATATTTTCGAAAGATCGAGGTCGAGGTTCAAAAAAAAAAAAAAGAAATAGGCAGACAAGTAAACGTCCTTCCTGTTATTGTTTGGCGCTCACAAAAGCGTACTCGACACCGGAATGTCCCGGTCGCATCAGCGAGCGCGTACGTATACGCGTCGGAGATTCGATACCTGCAGCCTGGAGAAGAACTGATCATCGATAACCGATTTCCGACGAACGAAACGCGGCGTATATCATCGATTGTTGTGAATCGAGAGTTCGACGGATCGGAGTTCACGCATTCCGCGCGGGGATTAGCTTTTCTTCGGACGGAGTGGCCGGTTTCGCGTGGCCGATAACGCCGATGCGGCACGGAAGATCGATAAATATCCGTGCGATTTTGAAGTGAACGCCAGACGGCATGGTGGGTGGTCGCGTCGTTCGGAAATCGATGGCGGCGTCGACGTAGCCGTGTCGGCGCGGGGTGACTGGGATTTTACGTGTGCTCGTCCGAAAAGCGACGGCGGTCCGACGCATCGAAGTCTCTGAAAGACGAGAGAGAGAGAGTTGAACGTTTGGCCGGCTGGTGGTGTCTAGCCGGAATTCCGAAATTCCGGACGCGCCAAGCTGTTATCTAACCCGATGGTCTCGGATCCGTGTTCGGGTACGGTGTGTTGTGCCGTTTTACACGTTAGTCACCGGCGACGAAAGGCGAAAGGCGAAAGGCGAGGACTTCCGTCGTGCCCGTGCATTGGCTGTGCCAAGCCAGTTCAGTTAGCGTATTTTGTTTCGCTCGAACGACCACCGTAGTTGTCTAAACAACTGACAACCGATTTCCAGGTAGAACATGCTGCAATCGCCAGAGATTATGGAACGGCAGCACCTCGTCGGATAGTCTTACGACTCTGATTACCCCTCGGTGGAACGGAAAGCGAAACAACGATAGGGAGAATCTCTGGCGGTCGTGGCCAGAGAGCGCGGGCGTGTCATTAGTTCGAGCCGCGCGAATTCGCGATTTTTCGGCTGTCGTTCGACTCTCGCGAATCGATTCCCTCCCACTCGTTAAATTCGGTCGACACGCGTTACGGTAGGTCGTTAACCGAGCACCACCGGCCCGTATCCGAACAGCTCTGCTCGCGTTAATTCAGCCGGCGTTGCGAAGAAAATATATTGTCACGATCGAAAATCGAATTTTGATTTCTCGAAAGAAGGGTGGAGGGGGAGGAGTGCTTCAGCTACGAGGAAAAAGATTGACCCTGAAAAACTCGTGGTAGTTCTCGTTGATCGTGGCCCGAAGTAGAGAGCCCTTCGTGACAGGACCCCGCCCTGGAGTCGAACCCCTCATACCCCCGATGTTCTTGGCGAGCTCGAGGCAGGGCTGCCACCATCCGAACTGAGTCCCTGGGTGCCGGGCTCAGCCGATACATTCCTGCCTCCCGTCTATCCCGGAGCTCATTCTTTCTCTGACCGTCGAGCAGTGCGGAGCGCAGCGGGAACGAAGCGGCGCTCGGTTGTTCGAGAGTGAACGTTGCACGCTTTACCGCGGACTCGAGTAAGTGAAACGGCCGTGCGAATCGAGAGAGGTAGTCGAGGAATCGTCAATCGTGTTCACACGGTGCTGCTTGTTTTTGGCTGATTTTTGTCGATTTGTTGTGCGCGTTAGTCGAGTTCTCGCCCGCGCTCGGCTTCCATCGCCGATAAATAGAGAGGAGAGAGAGGAGGGCTACACCGAACGTAGCCGAAACTCCGGTTCGGCGGGAACAAAGGAACGGCGGTGCCGAGTCGAATCGTCGCCGAGAGATCGGAGCAGAGAGAGGAAACGCGAAACGATCGATCGTCAACTGCCTCTGCTCTAAACTAAGTCCTGTGTCTGCTTCTGTCGTATCGGGAGGGGGGAGTGAGTCTCGTATCGCGTATTAATCCTGCCCATTATCGTGTTCGTCTCCGTCCGAGTCATTGGAAAGGTGACACAAACGCTTGTTGTACCGATTCCGTGTATAATATCTGCTTGTGATTTACAAGTTCAAGTGTTGTATGCGCACGAGGCACGAGGGGACGTCAGGAGAGATTTTCGAAACGGAGGAGCAAAAGTGGTGAGAGAGAGAAGGGGGGGGGGGAAGTGTGAGACAAAGAAAGGACGAAAGGGAGAGAAAAAGAAAGAAAGAAAGAGCGAGTGAGTTAGAGTTAGTGAAGCGAAGGGGGTAGGAAGGAAGGAAGGAAACAAGAGAGAGAGAAATAAAGAAAGAAAGAGAGTGAATGTATGCGCGCGCGCGCACGTACGAGAGAGAGAGAGAGAGAGAGAGAGAGAGAGAGAGAGAGAGAGAGAGAGAGAGAGAGAGGAGCGAGCTACTAGCGAGCGAGAGCGAACGAGCGAGCAATACGTTGGTGACAGAAAGACGGTCGGACGGACAGACGGACCGACAGACAGACGCCGCTTCCCCTCCGCTTCTCTCGCCAGTCGGTCGCGCGTTACCGAGCGAAGTGGATGAGTTCGCGAACGCGCTCCCGCTAAAGGCCTCTGCTGTTTGTGTCTGGCCGTAGGCGACTTCGGTATTCCGTTTCTTCTTGCCTCTACCCCGAGCCGAGCATTACCCATTCTCTCTCTCGTGTGCCTCTGCCATCGTGTGCGCTTCTTCACCTCTCGTACTCTCGTGTTTGTCTAGACGCCACGCATCGTGCTACACACCCGGCTATCGTCACCATCGCCGCCGCCGCCGCCTCGCCTCCACCTCTCGGAATAATATATCCAGCAGTGTGTTTTCTTGTGCTCGCGGAGCACCGGCGAGGGACGCGCCTTCACGAGAAAGATTTCGCCTCGTCGCGCCACTTACGACGCTCTCGACTACCGAGGTGAGTACCAACACACCACCCCCGAGTGGCTCTCGCCGTTTTCCTCGTTTTTTCGTCGGTGATTTTGTCGGGCCGCGCGCGCCCTTCCCCCCATACTGAACACCTTGTTTCCCCGCGTGTGTACAGTGCGTGCATGCCGCCGCGCACCGGTCTCGACATTCGACACGCCACACTGTCGCTGTTTTTCCTCGCGTATCCATACGCTTTGCTCAGTCGTCGATCGGAATCCTTCCTCGACTCATTTCGCGCGGTTTCTGTCAAAAAGCCAACGGTAGAAGCGGCAGCGTTTTACGCGTCGTGCGGAATTTCGAGTGTGTATACCCCCGCGCCATTTTGAAAATGGGCAGCATCAATCGATATAGCAAGCGCCGTACGAAGCCGGCACTCTCTCTCTCTCTCTTTCTCTCTCGATTCCAGTCGCTCCAATGACTTTCCTTCCACTTCCCCGACGAATCGTTCGCGAAGCGTTCCTTCTCCTCCCCGGGAAAAAAACATTCTGCGAGTCGCGCCGATCGGCAGTTAGATCGAGAATCGGTTGAAAAAGCGTGACGGTCGTATTTGCATGATCGGAAGACTCGTGTTGGGAGCAGCGGCCGGTTACGCCATCTTGATTCCTTCTCCCACCACTTGGTCGGTATTAACCCCCGAACGATCGACCATACGCACGATTTCAAGACTACCAGTGACCTTTCCCTCTAGGCACGATCCATCGGAATCTTGCAATCGAGGCCTGGCTTCGTGGTATTTCGTTGATTTTCTATCGTTGTACGCGTCTGTTCGATCGACGTTCGGGGTGGAGGGGGACGACGCGTCATCGGCCCTTAGGCCAAGGGCCCATACAAAATGGAATTCCTTCTTTCAGAGGACAAATCGCGCGTATACCGACGCGACGTGAAAACTCGCAGCCAGGAGATTGTGTTCTCCGCTCTCGTAGATTTTTAGCGTTTTCCTGTTACCATGGTGAAAGAGGAGGAGAGGGATAGAAAGGAGATACGTTCTTGCCAAGCCGGGTGCCTTAAACAGAGGCGACGTGTCTGCCTACCTACAGCATCTCTCTCTTTCTCTTTCTCTTTCTCTCTTTTCTCTCTCTTCGTGCCGATTTTGCATAGCAGGCCTCTATTTGCCGTGCATTTAAAACGCAGTCAAGGCTTCCATGGAAGCGATTGTTGTCGCTCGGGGAATGGCAGCTGGTGGAGAAAGGCCGAGAAAATGCTGGTCCCCGACTGAGCCTGTGGCCCGTCCACGCATCCCGATCTCTGGTTCCTTTCTTTTGTCAACGTTCGTGCAATTCACGATATCTTCATTCGTTATTCGTCTCGAAGATATTGTAGTTTCCGAACGGATCTTTTCTTTGTCGTGCGTTTCTCGATTTTCTCCATGGCGGTTGGGCGTGTGTCGGCCAACGTGTTCGACTTTTGAGACGACGTTTTGCGATTAGCCGCGCTTCTCCGTGGCTCTTTAGTTGCCTTTTTTTTTTTCCTTCGTGCATTGCGCGATTAACGGCAACCAGTTTCAGCGGCGAGTCTCTCTTTCTCTCTCTTTCTACGCCATCCACGCGATAACGGGTCGTTAACTTGCCTACATCTGCCTTTCTCTCGTTTACAAGAACGAAGAAAAGAGCTGTTCCGACTGCTTAGGCAGAGACCGTGCACGCCGCGTCGTCGAGTGCCTTTGAAACGCCTCGCGGCTCGACCGGTTTTTCGCCAGAAAACTGTCGTCCTCTTCTACCTCTCCTCTCCGCTTCTGCGGGTCGAAACGATAGCAGCGTGCACCGAATCAACAGTGCCTCGCCGTTCTTTTCTCTCGATTCCCGACATCTCATCGCGTCGCTCTTTTCGTACGTCGGGAAAGTTTGCCTCGCGTTTCTCTTCCCCCGGCACATTCTTGCTCTTACGTTCTCCATCTGGTGTTTGCGCGTGAGATTTTTGGATTCGGGGCTTTCAGGGACTTTCACCCTCGGCGGGCAAGGTCCTCCCGATGTTTACACGAGCGGCGAAGGGTGCACACGCGGCGCGCACCACCCAACCACAAATAGATCCACGCACTACTCCGGATATGCCGTGTATTTTTAAACCTACTCCAGCCGTGCCCTGTGCCCCACCTTTGCCAAACGTTCGCTCTCCATCCGCGGCAGCACAGGGTGAATTTTCCTGTTTACCCTTTACGTCGACCGCGACGATTTTCATCGGGTACAAGTTCTCTTCCCGTACGTACGTACGTACATACGTAAGTACGCACGTGCGCCGCGCCGGATTCGTTCACGCATGCGGGACACGCGCCTGAATACGGGCCGGCCACGTCGCCTCATTCTCTCTCGGGCACGCTCGTAATTCTCGATTTCGAGAACAGTGGCCCGAGCAGATGTCCTTTTTTTTTTCTTCTTTCTTCGAGGATGAATTATTTGCCTAACATCCCCGCGTCACGAATATCAGGCGTGTTGGCCCTGCGAAAATAATGGACTATTGATTGGGTGTACGCTATTTGTACGGCGTGGACCCGTTACTCCGTGGGAATCGAGCCTGTATCGCGCTCTCGCACGCACGCACTCTTGTCCAAAGCGGAAAAATAGAATTTTCCTTATTTTCTTTATATATATTTATATATGAAAAAATATATTAAAAGATATTAAATATATTAAAAACTTTCCTTACATCTTTATATATATTTATAATATTTATATTATATATAATATCTTTATATATATTTATATATCTGTGCACACTGTGGATAAAATGTTACAGGCATATTCGATATACAAGATAGTTTGGGGGGTATTTTCAAATTCTTTTTCGAATGGTGTACGAAGTTTTCGATATTCGGAAGAGCGCCGTCAAACTCAGTAACTTGTGTGTAAAGCAATTTTTCCTTATTCTGCGTAGTTAAAGAGTTACAGCAGAGCTTTTGTAGATGTCGAAAGATAAAGAAATTTATTGAATTTATTGAATCTTTTGTCTTACTACCATTAATTCTAGTAATATCCATTTGTTACATTTACCGTTACAAACTTTCTTTTGGAGTCATGTTTTTAGTAACATCGCAACACACACCTGTTAGGCGTTAAGTATGTCGTCGCATTTCTCAGATGAACGAACATTGCTTTTCTTTTGACAAGTACGAATTTCCAAACGTTCGTGTTTAAAGGAAAGAAATTTGAAAAATGTTTAGTATCGGGTGTCTATGCGGACAGTTTCTACAAAACTGTCTTCGCTTCGAGTTTACATCCCGAAATATCTTCCTTCATATTTACCGTCTTCCATTTCGTAGAAGACAGTTTGTGACACAATTTGTCTGCTCCACCCTGTATATACGTATTTCTTTCCCTTTGTCCAACTAATGTACGTTTTTCCATTGCCGTTAATGACTCAACGGATGTGACACCATGTGTTGATCGAGTGCTGCCAGCGTTCGCTGCGTTTTGTAAAGCTTTCCCGGCGAGAGCTTCTTTCGACGGAGCGGCCTTGATTTTATAATACAGTAACGGGTGCGTTAATCGACACGCTCGCGTTTGCAATTCGTGTTCTACGTTCTAACGCGGATATCTTAACGATCCGTGAAACGTGAAAGTGTGTTTTGTCAGCGATTAGCCGGACGCTCGTGATTAACAGTTCTCTGAGTCACGGTGTAAATGTTATCGTTATCGTTTCTCGAGAATTCGGTGATTTCCAGCGTTTCGTCGAATCCTGCACGGCGTCGGGCGTGCAATTGTTTTGTAACACCGGTCGGAAGTCGGCTTTACAGGGACTATAGTATCGTTAGAATGGCATAAACGTCGTAGGCATTTTCTCATTAGCATCGTTCCGAGTGTTACATGTGTATGTATATGTATATGTTGGAATTTCGTTTCTCATACGCAGAAGCTTGGCGTGACATCGTCGTTCAGGCCTTAATAGTCTTCGGCGGCAGTGACCTCTGAATGCGCTTATTAATCTATTGAGCGTAATCGGCAGAAAGAAATCTCGGTGCGTGGTTTTATTTGTATTGTGTTGCTCTCGCAGTGAATAGGTAATTAGTGGAACGATCAGAACCGAAATTGTTGTCGCTACCCCTCTTTTTCTCCTTTCCTCTCAAGTAACTCGAGTCTCATTGATAGAAACGCGTGAACGCGCCAGTTTACGTAGAATTTGTTTGTGCAACTGTAAATGAAGTGTCGCAAAATGAGAGCTTGTCACGAAAGTGCCGAATTCGGAGCAGTGACACGATTTCCTCGGCCGGTTTGCTTCGTTTTCAAAGAATCGATGGCGCTTCTTTGTGTTCGCCACCGGCGCAGCTACGCAATAAGATAGAACCGGCAAGAAAAGACAAATACGTGCGATTATTTCTTGGCCGTCATCGGTGAACGGTGAACGGATGTTGAATATTATCTGGTGATGCGGTTTGCGACAGGCGATATACGTACTAAATATAGGAACGTCGGCGAGAGATAAATCGGTAGTAGGTACAAGAGTGAGTTATGAGAAGAAAGGCTGTTTCTCCTTGCCGAGATCATTCCACGCTTCCCATCGAGCGCGTACGATCGTTCGACACGTGTTCTTGACCTCTTAACTCTAGCTTTCGCCTCCGATGTACTTGGCCCGTGTACTAAATCTATTTTTTACCAACATATACCATAGAGGTCTAGCCCTCTGCGCACTCAGTGGAGATGAAACAACATAAATATTTGTCGAACCTCTTCCTGCTGTCTAATATACGGCCGGGGCTAATTATGCCTGTTTCTTTCTCGCCTGTTGATATTTCGTAACACACGAATTCTCAGAGACGCCGAGAGAAGTGAATTCGTGGGGGCACAAATTCTTTCTCGCGCGTGCTTGGCAACGTTTGTCGTAAATCCGATGGATCTATCGCGAAACGCGAAATGAAGTGGAACTTTTAATAGCGTTTTCTCCGATCCAGTGAACCGTGATTCCTTTGTACTGCGCCCCGTACTCCAATTTGTTCGGAAAATTCGGCATCGACGGGGGTGTTCCGAATAGTTCGCCAGGGGTGAGCCATTGTTAGCCATTATTACGTTACGTTGAGGGTAATAGCGACGAAAGAATCTTCCCGCATCCACGTGGGATCAAAGTAATTCTCACGTAGGCCGACGGGGTAGGCGATCTTTTTCTTATCAGGAATTCCTTTCTAATCCTAATAAATGGTTTCGACGTCGTACAGCCACCCGATGTACACGAGAGACGACGAGCTTCGAAACGCATTAGCGCAAGCGCGTGGCGGAGTCGTAGAACGCGACTGGAAAGTGCAATGCACCGGGAATAGTTCTACCAAGGGACAGACAAACGCTATTATTCAGTGGCAACGATACGCGACACGTTCGCGCCGCACGTTTGCCTTCGTTTTGGGAAAGCTTGAAACGCCCGTTGTATCGTTAGCGACGCGCGATCGGATAAACACACTCCCTCGAACGGAACGGAACAGAATCTGCAACGATCTATCGTTTTATCCGTCCGAATTTAAAACCGCCGAGCTGTGATTACCGCGAAACGAAGCGTTTGTCGATAGCCGGGTAGGGAGGGAGGGAGGAAGGGGGAAGAGTGTTGCCGTTAGAAAGCGGAAAGCTGATTCGATCTACCTACTTTCCGCTGATTGAAAATCGCAGGCAACGAGTTGACGGGAACTCGATGTTCGAAAAATATCGGGAAACGTCGCGTTTTATTACGTTTCCGCGACGCTGAGAAATCGCTCGCGAAACGAATGCTCGTTAAAAAAAAAAATGCTGTTTCTACAAGAGGCCGTGTGCCTGTGTCTATCCGTTTGTCGAGATCTCGGTCATTTTTCATCTCGATCAGTCCAGGATACAAAGGCTTGAACCGGTGGTTGGTGTTGTCGGCTGGTTGCGGCCGCGTAGACGCGTTACGCATCGTAGCTGCTAGGCAGGGCATCGGTGCGTGGCCACGCCACGTGCTCTTTAAACGCGTCTTACACACGAATGCGCTTGGTCTCGTGTTCGACTTCGCCTCGCCGTGCCAGTTTTTCGCACTCGTTGCTCGAACACAACGGATCGTTTCCTCTATTCCCCGTGAGAGAGGAGAGAAGCTCTTCGTCTCTCGACCGCGGGACCGTTAACCAACCCTGTCCCCTCTCTTTTTAACGGCTCGCAGCGCCTATTTTCTAACGCGGTAATTACAGAGATCTGCTCTTTCAAAGAGTCCCTTTCTTCTCGCGCTTTTCCACGCTATTGTTGTTAGACCGAACGACGATTTTGCTTAGAACTCGATCGATACGAATCAGAAGTCGGGCGGACGGAGAGGCTCGTGTTTCGTTGAATTCTTCTTCTCCGGGTGGTGACGTTTAACTCGCGAGGGATTCCTTTCTCGCGAAGCGTGTCGCCTTCTTCTCTTTCCTCTTCCCCTTTGTCTTTCGCGAGCTCATATATTATTCATTCATCACTGAGGTATGCCCGGTAATTTCTTACGCGAACCGTATAAAGAAACCTTTGCTATCTCTGCGGCGCGAAACGAGAGAGAGATCTGCATACGGATGTGACGTAGTAAATCGATAGGGAAACTGCCGAATCACGTTTGCTTATCTCTCTCGAAAGTGGCCAAGCTTCGTCAAGCTTTGTAATTGAGAAATAATTCTGGAATAAAGAGAGAGAGAAAGAGGGAAAGGAGACTTTTCCTATCGTTAACTTCTTGCGCTGGAATGACATTCCACGCATGTCGAGAATTTTTTGTCCCAAAATTGCAATGTTTCCTCAGTTTTAAGTATATTTAAGTATAACCCAGGCAAAACAAATAGTAAATTTATTACTTCTCGATAATATCTGTCCAGCGAGATATCATACCGACGAGTTCAAGAAGAAAGCGACGAATTGTTGTTATATACGGTTCGGTCACTCGTTATGGTCCGCAATCAGTTGCCAGCGCAAGAAGTGGTTAACGTTATTTTCGGTACATACCAGTTAGTATTCAGCTATAAAGAACCGCAAAGTAGTAAACTTGTTTGCCGATCGATAGCCAAAAAGCTCGATCAGTGGATCCCCATTATCCTTCACGCACGATTTCGTCGTTCATTCTCGCCGTTTGATTGCAGGTCAGTTTCATTGGACGCGCGACACCTGATCGATCACAGCATCCGAAAAGCGCAGACGAGAGACAGGTGAGCCAGAAGGAGATAAAGAGACAAAAAGATGGGAGCGAGACAGAGCAGAAGGTCCGTGGACATAACGACGACTCCGAAGAAGGAAGGGTTGCCCGCCGAAGGAGGTGTCGGTGATGCAGCTGCACCTGGCGATGGCAAGCTGGAAAGGATCGAGGAGGCCGACACGAAGCCCACTACTAATGGAATAGCGCCGCACACGGACGTGACCGAGGATAAAGACAAGGATAAGGACGACGCGACGGAAAAGGACAAGGATAAAGAGAAGGTAAGATGCATCGGGAACCACTCGTTGCTTTGCTTTTTAATCAGATTTTAATATTCATTGGATTTGAAGTCGAACAACTGTAACTTGCATTCGTATTGGCGCCTGGAGCCTCTATTTTCAAAATACGCTGTTCATTTAATTCTAAGATATTTTTACGTCGCGACACTTTTTTTTTCCGCTCCAAAAATACTATAAATTGTCACAGTATGTAAAGACATTTAACAATTTTTTTTTTTTTTTTTTTTTTGGTCTGAATCGATTAATTTGAAAATCGACGCTCCAAACTTTAGAACGAATTCAAGTTTACGGTTTTACGAAACTGTAACAGTTTAAATGTTCAGTGTCCGAATATTTGAATGTTTGAGTATCAACGCGAATAACTGTACTTGGAAGAATAAAACTTCTTCGTATTTAATCTCGATGACACAACGACACTACTCCGTACAGCCTTTTTCTATAATATCTTCCCTCGAAGTCGTTGAAATTTATCGTTCGTAAGAATGTGCCAATGAATCAGCAATGAATCGCCCGCTACATCATCGCGAGTGTATTTTGCTCGATTTTTTTTTTTTTCTAGAAAACGATCGACGGTTATTGAATTCAATTGATTCATCGACGGTGCACAGTGTTCGATACATATAAGAAAATAAAGCGGGAAAGTGATAACTTCTCTCGGAACGAAAATTTTTGTAATGAAATTTGTTATTTGGCCTTACATTAATAGGTAATTCTTTTATAATTTGAATATAACGATTTGGATTATCGATGTGTTTGGACATAACGATTTCGACTATTCTCTCATTTTGGGCAGATTTGACACAAATTTGACTTTAATGTAAGATTCAATCTATCCAGAATCAATATAGAAACAAAGTCATGATGATATTTTTTGATATTTTTAAAACTCATTTCGAAATTGACAAAATTATTCATACAAATGATTCAAAAAATTCGTCGTTATTATATTTAGAACTTTTCAGTAATTTCAAAAGTACATTACTAAACTCGTCTTATAAGGATAAAACTAAGGAAACAAATATTACTGCTGTGACAGCTAAAAAAGAAAAAGGAAAATGCATCAACTTTTACATTCAATTTCATGCTTCGATTTTGAACAACAAATCGATGTATTTTATAAAAGTCGTAACATCTTACGAACGTGTTGTGTTACTAATATTTCGTGACATAAGACTTTTCAGGTCTTAAACTTCCAATGTTTCGTTTTCTTGTATTGAATCGAACACTGTGCGACGAACGTGACTTCCTATTCGACGAGCGGTCTACGTACGTTTGTTGCCGCTGAAAAACCGTGGCCGGCGACTCGCGTCTAGGGTTCTACGTAATAATAATATTGCACAAGCAGCGCGTGTACTACACGCGCCGTTATATACGCGGCGTATCGCGTGCGTATATATGCAGTTCGTTGCGTTCTCGGATTATTATTATACCGAGATCGGGCTGCGTGATACGCCGCGCTTTCGTTTCGTTCGAGACTCCTCATTGCGGATAAAAATCCCGCTGCGAAACGAACCGGAAGGACTCGGGAGGGTAAAAAAAACTCGAAAATATCAGACAGAAGGAACATGAGATCGGTACACATGTTTTTCGTGTTTTTCATCCGGTCGAGGCCGATGAATCGGTGCCATTTTTCGCGAACGTGTCGATCCATCTCGGTATCAGCGAAAGAATCTGAAAAACCACGAATCGGACGCTGTCAACGGCAGACGGCCACGCGGCGCCGACGTGCCTATCGAAAGTTCGAACTGTCACTCTCGTCGGATCGCATAAGCGTGCCAGTGTATATATCGTGAAATGCTCGCAGCTAGACGAAACCTGATATTTCCTCGATTGAGCAACCCCGGCAGCTGTCATGCACTAGATACGGTAACGCGCGTGAAAGGGTGGAGAGGGTGGGATGAAAAGTGAGAGAGAGAGAGAGAGAGAGAGAGAGAGAGAGAGAGATCGCTATTCTGCCTCTTGCTTTCATTTCCGTTAAACAGCAGGTCCTTTCCTACTTCCTTCATCGTTCCGATCGATAACACGAGAGATTTAAAATGGTTTATCGGATCCTCCGATTTTTCCACGTTTCTCTCCACGTCGCGGTTCCATTATCCTCGCTCTCTCGCCATAGTTGTCCGCGCGAATCGATCGCCGTTGCATTTCTAGACCGTGGTGTATAAAGCTCGAGCCCGAGAAAGGCGTGCACTTAATTTCTTGGAAAAGTGTATTTTTACATGCACAGTACGCCCATTGTGCCACTTAACGAAAGCAGGATAGCGATCTTTCCAGAGATGTTTGTGTGTGTGTTAACGGTTCGCCTAGATCCACGCTAGTAGAACGCGAGTAAATCGAAACGTCGATTTTATTCGATGCGAGAACGAAAGTGTTCTCTCCCGCGGCCGGTGGGAACTTACTTAACGGCGAGATCTGGCTGCGAAATTTTTTTCAATATCGCTCGAGTAGATAGACGTAACGCTATATATATATATATACACACATACACACATACATACATATATCGGTATCGATTTCTCGATCTCGCTTTCACGGCACGAAGCCAAGGAAACCGCGTTAATTCGCCATAAACGGTGTTATCAGGGCCGCAACAGAATCACGATCGAGTGTGTGTGTGTATCGCGATCGCTGTGCCCGGGCGGATGTACTCGAGATAGCAAGCGCGATGCTCGACACAACGCTCGGCTTACCGAGATTACATAGTTGCTCTAGATAGATTCCGCGGAAAGAAGTAGGAGTTCCGAGGAGTTGGTTGAATTTTCGCGTGGAAAAAGAATATCGAAATACCGTTTCAACGGAGGTCGAGTGGTCGACTCGTTACCACCGAAGACGCACACACAGGTGCACGCGTGTACGTACCGGTAACGCGTTCTCGCGACTAACTGTAACCGCGTCTCTCCGCGTAAACGTTCTTACCGGTGCATACCTAACTGTCCTAGACGAATAAATCTTTCGTTCCTGTGTCTTTGGTGTCTGCCCGACTTTTCGTCGGCTCGTCACAACCTGCCTGCACGCAGACGTTTCGTTAGGCCTGACACCTGGCCAATTAACACTCACCACGGGCGAGTGTCCACATATATACTTGACTTTGGTTGGTTGACAAAAATATTGATATAAATAAATCAATGAAAATTCGTGTCAGGATATTCTACACACGAGTCATTATGATTTGACCGATAATCGAAATAAATAAATTTACACAATTCTGTCTCTGTCCAAACAGAAGTTAATATTAATTTAACCTCTGGCTACTAAACCATAGTGACTTTTTCGCACGTGTAGTTTTGTTTTGAACTATAGTGGCTCACTTGTTTCTCATTGTCAGTTGAACAACAGAGGTATATATACACTGTCGTGTTGTTATGATTTTCCAAATTCTTTATGAAATAAATTTTAATTCATTCGTTTGTTTTCAATCTGAAAATTTCAGTGTATTCGTGATTACATGGAATATATTCTAATGTAATTGCATGTAAAGCAATGTCATATATACTTGACTTTGCACAGGTCTTGCTGTACAAAAGTATAGCTAAGAGGTTTAGCCGATTGTATGAAACGATTATTGATCGTTAAAAGTATAGATCGTTAAAATAATGAAATTATTGTTAATAACATTTCTTGTAATGATAGTCCGAATGGTTCTTACGTAATTGATGTTTCCTGCGCGCAACTATCATTTCGAACATCCCACCGGCAAAGTGTTGAAAGACACAACGAGCGCGCACACTCGGGCAACATCTCTCTACGATCTTGCAAAATCTCTCTCTCGAGGCAGGTGTGTTGTGCACGGCGAAACGATGTTCGAAAGTCCGCTCGCTCCCGGTATCGAACACCTGTCCTTGATACTCGTTGCTTCGGCGACGTCGACTATAGCCAGCCTGCTCGCGTCTTTTATTTTTCACCAACAGGAACGCGCCAGCCCAGCATTTCGCGAATAATTTAAGATATATCTGCAGGTTGACTACGCTACGAGTGGAGTGTCAGCCCGATGGAAAGGCCAGACCTTACTTTCCTAACCTTGACCATGCAATTTGACATGTGCGCGACACGCACATGCTCAGGCAGCAACTGATCCTTCTCTCTTTTCTCTTTCCTTCTCTCTTTCGCGGGACTTTAATCAAAACACAATTCCAGCCTTGCACGAACATCGTGATTCCATACGCGTTTTTTTCCCGATAAGGGAACTTCTTTTTTTTTATCGTTGAAACAGTTCTCGCGATCACGCTGCCTGCCGAGTGACCTGCATTTCACGCAGTAGCTTGATTTCGTTGCACGTTGGCATAGGCTAATCTTCGTGAATGTTAAATTTATGCCGACGAATGTAAAAAAAGCAATTGGAAATTTTGATTTATTAACGATCCTGAAATGAAAAAGGAAAGCCAACGATTGGAAATACTGTTCTTACAGATGATACGCAATGAATCATAAACATATGTATAGAATCGTCGCCGGCGATCGTGAAGATCGGCGATGTCTCTAACGTGGCTTATGTATGTAGCGTAAATCATCTCGAGGAAAGTGCCTTTCGCGTGAATCATCGCGAGCGTCGCCACGCTCCTCCCTCTCCTCAGGAGTAGCAACTCGTTTTATTAATTAATATGAGACGCGACTCATCTGTTTGCCGCCGCTAATTAAAACTGCGCGCCACTTGAATTCCATCGGATGTTTTGTAGACGAGCGAGACAAAGAATGCCACTGGAAGATTTCGCGTCGAGAAAATCAATTTGTCCTGGGAGGTCGCGCACGATTTTTCACGCATATCTCGCGAGTTGCGACAGTCTGCGACCGCTTCGTGATCCTTGCCAATTCAGGATGAAACCCAAACGAAAGGAGAATTTTATCGCGCGCTTTCGAACATGTTTGAGTTATATACACAAGTGTTTCCAAAATCGTGGTACAATCGGTCAAGGTATGATTCTACATTTAAAAGTAAGTGGAGAAGAAGGAGTAAAATTTTTCCGTATAACGCTTCGTTTCCGGGAAAATCGAGTTTGAAGATTTGCCAAGGCAATCTCTAATGAAACATATTCAGTCTGTCTTCTTACAAATGAAGCTGTAAATGAAAAAATTTTACTCTACATTTTTGAACGTAGGATAATGTTAATTATTCTTCTCTGTCGTGGAATTGATTAAATTCAAATTTAGTAAATTTTCAAACTCGATTTTCTCGAAGCTTGAAGTCTTATTTTTTTCACGTCGAATCACCTTCTGACTGGTTGTACGGATTTCCGAAACATCCTGGTATTATTGCCAAGGAAACGACGCCCCAGGTCCGTCTAAGTGCCTCGAGAGAGAATCGAGCCGATCACGGCAACCTTCACGCACGCGATTATCTGCACGAAATTTGGTAGATGCCTGTGTCCTTGTACCGACACGTTTCGCTCTCGCCTTTATCCGACACGCGTGTGAATCGCCGCGAATTCCTTTCGCAGAGAAAATCGCACCGGCGTAGCCGTCGATGATTTCGCGGCGACCGATGATCGGTCTCGAGACTCGCTCGCCCAGAAAACTCTCGCGATCTCGCGCGAGATTTTTAGTACACGTTTCACCGGGGCTGATTCAGCCGCGTTGGAATTCGTCGTACGAAGCTGCACCTGGCACGTCGGGCCTCGTCCTTCGCGGTGTCCTCGAGCCGACGATTTCTTCGTATGCCGATACCGTTCGATCGACAAACACGCGGAATTTTGCATCGAGAAACGCGCGCCAAGCACCACCATCCCTTTGAATATCAACTCGCGGACAAATGATTCGCGATCGGGATAAATTCTTTTATTTATAACGCGGCGCCGTGCGTCCTTTCCATGAATATTTAATCCGCGGTTGCGCGCTAGAAAACGATACAAAAGCGCCCAGTGGCGTCGTACGTGCGTCTAATTCCATTGTGTGAACGAGCGCGAGTCATTGCATTTCTCTCTCTCTCTCCCTCCTTTCTGATCGCGGGTTAGGTTCGAGGATGTTAGATAAGTGAAATCAAAATTGACGGCAAAAGGAACGATCGTTAAATTTTTTGTTATTTATCTCGGCGTGTACCAGCCTTAACACATTGCAAACCGCACATTTTTGGAGCAACAAGGAAACTTTGTACAATGCATACATGCACTCCTTTAATTCGCACTGAAATATTAAAATATTCTCAAGTATTGCTATATATTTTTGATGGTAATACTCGAGAATCTATTTATTATGTATTTCAGACTTTCACTATTATTTATTTTTTATATTTTTGTTAACACATTGAGGACGATATGCTGTAATAAACATATATAGTCTGTATTTTCTCGTATTTTTTTGAATTATTTAATACATGATTGAAAGAATGTATAGTATTTAACAAGTGTATTATTTTATTAATAACCTCTTAGCTGTGGTGCCGCTTTTAAAAAGCGTGTATCTGTGTTGTGTCGCTGGAACGACGCGATGACGATTATACTCGTCAAACACAGAGTGTGTCAGTTGCTGTAAAATTGAATTAGGTTATAACGAAGTAACACTTTTTTTTTTCTTTTTTGAAAAATCAATAGTTTTATTGTTTAATTTAATTAATATCGAGTTAAATTTTGCAGCGATGTGTGAAACGATGTATAAAGTCTAGCCTCGAAATAAAATTCGAAAATGTCTAAACTTCAGTCCAGTAACAAATTGGAATTACTTTTCCCGCATGACGAGTACACTCGTCGCTCGCAGCTTATTAACGAAAGATCTCGGTGGAAAGTGTCTTTGCAGACGAGGAGGAATCGTTGACGCGTGAAAAATGCCTCCGGACTTGTATAAAATGCCATTGCACGAGGTATGTACGCGTTTCTGCCACGTAGTCAGCCAGCCTGCCGGCTGTCCTCTTTCCTTTCTCCTCGGTATTATCAGTCACGATACCGCGATATCCAAGACGAGCGTGCGCTCGTGAGACTGGCAAGAACAAAAATAACTGGATATTTACATAATATAATGCGCGTATCGCGCGATGGGGAGAGATTCCGCTGGGCTGAGCGGAAGTGACGTGGTCGTTGCCGACGACGCACCCAGACGTGTTTCCTTTCGTTTTTTCCATCGAACTCGTCCGTGATCTCGCGAGGAAACTGTATTCCGAGCCAACTGTAAGCCGGGCCTCGAATGGCTGGATCGCCGGCTCGATCAACGATGTGTATAACGCGGTCGATAAAGTCAGCTCGTTCGTGGCGCATGGAAACAGCAAACGACCAAGTGGAATTGTTCCGGAGGATTTGTATCGATAATAAAACGGGCTGATGTTTACGCCGTGGTCGGTGGCGGTAAAAGACTCCGTTGGCCGGCCTTCGACCAGCGTTGAAGCAAACAATACTTCTTTCGTCGTATTCCATTAAGCCCGAGAATCACGCTCGGGGAAATAACGACTCGTGAAATAGAATAATTCATTACAGCAGTACGGAGAATAACGCGCGCTCCAATTGTTATTTACGAGTAGCGAGAATCGCTGTGACCGATTAAGACGAGGTTTATTAGCCTCTTGTTTGTTTTACATCTGGCCCGTTATTGCATAATAGGCCTCTTATTCTGTTGTTAATTTCAACTCGCGATAATTTTAGCTCGGCGAAAGCCTGATCCCCGTAATCCCAGCGACAAGTTCGCAGGACTCTCAGCCGAGAGTCGGAGAGAACCACTGATCGTTCTCTGTAATCTGAGATTTTCGCGGTTTCATCATGTATACGTCGGGTCCCGACAGCCGCAGCTGTCCCATTCTGATAAGTCTCGCAACTGTTACTGCGAGAGAGCCGTTCGTTTCGCGCTTTTTTCTTCTTTTTTTTGTTTTTGTTCTTTTTTTTCTCTCCCTCTTCTCTCCCGCTCCCATCCCGATCGTGGTTCACCACTACCGATTTTCTTGTCGTTCTTCTCGCACGCGCTGGCGGAAATCGGGGCCTCTCTGTTCGGTGGCTTCGACTCGCGAGAAAATTCGTCCCGTGCGATGGTGATGCAATCGCCGGGCGGTTGCGGTTCTCGCGAGCGTGTGGCCAATGACGAAATTCCACGGGCGAGAAACGTCGCCGCTCCGCTAATTTTCACGAATCTGCCGCGAACACACCTCGTGTTTTTTACACGTAACCGGCAATTTTTCGCGTTTATCTCCGCGTCTGCTTTTTTTTTTTTTTTTTTTTAAATACTGCGTACCGCACTCAGCCTAACTCCCCAGGGCCAGCACATTTTTGGAGCAACAGGGAAACTTTGTACAATGCATATACGCACTTCTTTAATTCACATTGATAAAATATTCTTAAATATTACTATGTATTTTTTATAGTAATATTTAAGAATTTATTATGTGTTTTGAATCTATTATAATTTATTATGTATTTTAGATTTTAACTGTTATTTATTTTATATTAATATCAACACATTGAGGATGGTGTGCTCTGATAAACACATAGCTTTTATTTTCTTGTATTTTTTGAATTATTTAATATACGATTGAAAGGGTTCAAGAGAATGTATAGCATTTCACAAGTGTATTATTTTATTAATAATTAAAATCATTAATTCTTCATTTTAAAGATATTTTGTTAAATAGAATGAAAGTACATCTAGTAACATTTCTTAGTGTGATATATTAGGAAACAGTTTCCCTACTTCTTGAAAAATTATATAACATTATAATATTATAATATAAATTATTATATATAATATACATTATATATAATATTATATAATAAAAATTATATACAAGTCCGCAACGTTGAAACACGAGAATTTTCGTCACCCGTCCGCAACAGTTGAAAACTGAAAGACGCGAATTCGCAATGTGTTAATTTATGCGAAGACTCTCACGAGGTCGACGAAGGAACCTCGATTTATGAATAATAAAACGAATTCGCGCGGCTTTTATCCTGTCACCTAAAAAAAAAAAAAAAAGAATGGCGGTATCCTCTTCTGAATTTACAACGCGTGAACCGAGTATATTCACATATCGACACCCGATGGCGAGTGGAACCGCCCATCGACTCTGTGAATCTTCTACAAGATTCTGCAACGCTGTTGCACCTGCTGCCAGGTACACTCCGGGCCGTGGCGATGCACGGACAGATTTCGCTGGTTTCGAGCACGAATTTGGCGATCGGCCAGATCGGTGACAAGCTGCTTGCGTTCACTTTCGATTCTCTGCAGACTAGAGTCCTTCGAAACACGCTTATTAATCCCTTCTCCCCGAAGAACGCGCGCATGCTCAGAAAGTGTAAGCTCGTGTACGAAGAACGTACATACGCTTGCTCGAATGATGTTTAAAACCTCGAATTGACGGAGCAAAATTTTACAAGCTCTAGTTACGGTAAAGGTAAAATTCATTACAAAATTTAGGCACACAAAATTATTACAAGTATCATCGTTATCGTTCATAGAAATCACGTTTTATTACGTTTTATTAACCATGAAAAGATTTGAAAAAAACATTTAACGATGTTTCGTAATGGCCGAGAATGTCCGTCGATTTTCAACGTTACTCTTCTTTTCTTTTTTCGTTGTTTTCCAGCAGGAAGAGGTAGTAAAGGCCGAGGAAGCGAAGCAAGAATCGGCTGGAGAATCTCCCGCGGAAACGGCGGCGGAGGTCACAACACCGACAGAAGGCACTCCAGCTAGTCCCAACACTGCCACTTCTCCAGAGAACAAGGAAACCAAAAAGAAAGAGAAGGTGAGGTCGATCGTCTTGGAGTACACAGGCAGTTAGAAAAAAGTGTTCACAACTTTTGCAGTAGATAGTATTGCGAAGTACGTGGCAGAAGAGTTCTGGTAGGTCAGAAAATTGACAAGTACCATCTATTGTAGAAGTCTCGAATACTTTTCTTTTCTATCAGCCTGTATAGTAACCGTGATGGACGTATGGACGAAACTCTACTGATTACGTAGGTAAGCAAGGATTAGCTTGTTATTCGAGTGATTGTTCGAAACGTTTCAAGAGAGCCAGACGGATTGATTCGTCGACGAACACGTGCGCGGTTTGTATGTATGTATCTCCCGAACGGATTCTCTCTCTGTGCGTGTGCATGCGTGCGTATGCGCGTGTGCACACAGCTTAGACGAATAAGACACACAGCTGCGCGTAATGAGTTCTTCGATCATTATCGATACCGTTTCCTCGTTCATAGATGAAGAAAAAGTGGTCCTTCAGGTCGATCAGCTTCAGCAAGAAGGACAAGAACAAGCCTGCCCGCGAAGAAGCACCCAAGAATGGAGACGTCACCAAGGAGGAACCTCTCGCCGAGGTGAGTGGAGAATAATCTTGCCTTATCCGATATTTCTGTACTCTCTTCTTGCGTCCCTGTACAATCAGAGCGCGTTGAGAATCGCAACGACTACCGATCCCGTTAATTATATTATCTCGTCTTCTCCGCGAGGGAAGAACACGTTCGGAAAGCGTTATCCAAACTGGGACTTGCCTTCTCCGATCGACAGCTGTCTGTCTCGATAGCGAGGTTACTATAAAAAAAAAAAAAAAAAAAAAAGAGAGAGACTCGAACCACGATACATACTCGATTGTTGCCTCGAGCAGTATTTCGTTGATTCAGCGCACACGTTGCAGTAAAATTTAGCATGACTCTGACCGATCGATCGATTAGTCAGTAGATTTTAGGCGTAGTCGTAGAAATAATGGAAGTCGGTGGAACCAGTGGTGGAACTGGCGTAACACCAGCGGGACACTGCTCGCTCGAGCGTGATTTGTTGTGCTCTCACTTCGATTTCAAGCAATCGGCGTGCAGCGGTATAATCGGGAACGACCATGCGATAACCGTCACGGATCGAAAACTCCGCCGGTGTTTAATTGGCCTCGAGATGTCTAATAAATCTCTCGAGCCTTTCGTGGTTATCAGAGATTTATTTTGCAAAAAAAGAAAAGTGATAAACGGATAGTGGAACGATCGACGTTAATGGAATTAATTGTAATATGCCCAGCCGCGTATCGATTTTTCTACTTGAATATTAATTACGTCAGAATATTACATGGAATAAAATGGTCAAAATGACCAATTGGCAATTTTTATTAGATATTTTATAGATATAAAATTGCGCGTCCTTTGTTGCATAATAAAGATCTTCTTTTTCTTTTACTTTAATGTCTCTGAATGGAAATTTTATCATTTAGTCGTTGATAGTTATAGTGTTTAAAACTATGTCGTGTCGAGTGCATTTGTTGTCGAACAAATACCAATGGCAGATCAGCTGCACTACGATCATGTTAGATTTTCCTAATTTTCTAACTTTTTAATAGAACGATCGCCGAAGAATACAGGCAAAAGAAGAATCTTGGTTACACGTCAAAAACGTCAGACAAAAAAAAAATGTTCGAGTCGTCAGAAAAGTCTAGAGCAGAATCTCCAGTGTTTTATCGTCGATCGAGAGCATTCACTTGCTGCAGTTATCGATCTTCTTCGAACAATACGAATTAACGTGGCGTGTACATTTGACAGGCAGTACGATTCGCGTACGATTTCACGTTTGGATTCACGTTCGAGATTACATCCAGCACTCGGTATCGCGACTCGGTGCTTCGTTATAAATCCATTACAAAATACTTACAAGTAGCGAAGTTGAACCGTCTCGTTTCATCTCGGTCGTGGCTCCTCCGGTTGTCGAGCTAGTCGACGCGTAGGCGAGAACCGTAGCCTCTCGAGACCCCGTCGTAGGGCTAATCTCCTCGTTTCTTTGCCACCTTCTTCATCTTCTGGCCGCGCTGCTCCGTCTTTCGCAGACTACCTTTCTTTTTCTCTGCAACCTCGGCCTCACGATGGAAAGAGTGGGACGGGCGAGAACAGCCGTGACTCATCCTTCTCTCGTTCGTCGTTGACCGCGAGTTTCGTGATAGGCTGCCACGGGAAAACCGGCTTTAGAGTTACTGAATTATATCCCCCTTGCTTATCCGTTTCGCTCTACCTTGTCTGGCCTCTTCGCCGTGTCTACCCTCCTAACAGAACGTGTAATCGTCCCCCCTCGTCTCCGCTGTCCCGGTGACGAAGTAAGTCGTTCTCCTCTCCGCTGGTCCACGTCCTCAACGTTTTCAACGAGCGATCGGTCCCGGATCGAGAAACGACAACGACGTTTCCGATTGGAAACTTTGTGTTCCGATTAACGAGCACTGATACGGTGTGTACCAGATACCTGGTTGGATAACGTTGTAACGCGCGCTCGTCGATGCGCGTTGCGTTTTCTATTTATCAGGCCAGTTTGTAAGACGTCTATTCCACAGGCGGATGATCGATGCTCTTCGTATCAACCTCGTTAGACGTAGCAAGACACGTGTCTCGGTTCACTGAGAGAAGATACACGCGGCGAAGTGAAGCGATATCCTCCTTGAGGCGGTAGCAGCAATAACAGCAATAACAGCAATAACAGCAGCGTAGATATCGCGAGGGCCGCGTTCAACCGCGACTTTCACTCCCTTCGAACAGAGAGTCGGCATTCCGAGTCATTAAGGAACTACAAGTGGTGGTGTGGTGTGTAGCGAGACGTCATTGTACAGCGCGTTATGACACCACCACGAACAACGACTTATTGCTCTTTGCCTTGTTACTCCGTGCTTCATACGCAGCTTCTTCTTCTTCTTCTTCTTCGTGGCATTCACATCTCCTCGTTTCTTTGGATTCCGTTAAAACCGTTGTCGCTCTCCTGGTCTCTCCACGAGAAAGTATTTTATTCGTTGGAAGACCTCGGTCAGCCATAGTAATCGTTGACCTCTTCACCGGCGTGCGACCGAACGCACCGCGTGCATCGCCGCCGCATCGGATTTGCGTGTGTGGATCATTTTTACAGACGAGGACACGACTACGCGCGGTGTGGTCTGGCGTGGCACCACGGTACCACGCCACGGAATGGGAGTGGTTGAGCTTGTATTCTCCAAAGGACCTTCCTACGTGCTCCTCTTTAACCATTTAACCGATGGGGATAACGGTGGAAAATCCTCCTCCAACGCGCAAGACGAGATAACCTGAATTTCGAAGATGACGACGTCATTTGTTCTTTTTCTTCTTTGTTTCTTTTTTCTGTAAATATTTAGTTCAGTTTATCCCCAATTTTGGTTATTTCGCTACACTCTTTCTACTATTCGTTGTGTTCCGGATGGATCCACATGAGACCTAGCACATCTTTTTATTTACATTTTACTAGAATTACATTAAACTAGAAATTCACCTGTTTTTTTTTTCTTGGTACCATGCTGCCACGATATCTTTCGATATATATTCCGATAGTTCTTCCATTTTCATTTCTCGCAAATTGTATCTGTTTATATTTGCTATGGACAAGAGTTAAAATTGGTTTGTGTGCGGCAGAATGCGCTTTCTGGTAAGTTACACCGTCCCCCCAGTTAAAAGGTCAATTGTACTCGATCTTCGCTCACATCTTTCCTTTTTTATATTTTTTACGTTTGCGTGATTGAGAATCGGCGAGCCTAAGTTATCCGCGGCGAAGGAAACGGATAATTATAACGAGTAGAGCCTCGTTCCTGAAGATGCACGAGCATCGGCTCGATTTCCTACGGGAAATGAGACATATCTGTCAGAGAAATCGGTAATGGGGGCTGGACGGGACTGGTCGACGGTCGTCTGCGCTTCTGTCGTTCATTGTACTCGTTACTAACGCGGTTCAATGGCCCAAACTTCCCGGATACGCTTACCTCTACTCTGCGTTATTTGTCGCGAAAAGAGCTACGGTTTCGTTTGTGCGCTTTGTTCGCGCTGCAACGTGCTTACGTATCGGGGACTGCTCGGTAGAGACGACGTTGTCGACTTTATCCACGATAAACCACCTCGATCGAGGATAAGCGGTTGTTGTCGTATCGAACCATCAGACTTACGTCTTTGCTCCTTTCCGACTTCAAGCTCATCCCACTGACGAACAATGAGCCCACGGAGATATTGCTCGTGAATAATGTCGTTCTTTGTGTTAAGTTTATAAATTTAGTATCTTTTATATGAGCAGCGATCTTTAAATTTTAAATTTGAGGCACCAGCAGAAAAAAATGTAGTAAGTTATTTTTAAATTAACTAAATTAAAAATTATAGTAAATTGTTAAATTATTGCATAATGCTGCAATAGTTTGTGATATGTAGTTAAAAACATTTTAAACAGTATTAACTGAGAGTTAAAGGAATCTGTGAATTCTCTAAATGGTTTATACTTGAGGAATGCAAAAAATATGTAAAAATTTCTATGTTGAACACTGAAGAACGTCCGTGTCGTAAACTTAAAAAAAAAGATAAAAAAGCTTAGAAACAACAAAGAGTAAGTTGAGATTGCAGCAAGCAAGAAATTTACTCCTTCGTAAGAATTGAATTTTCTTGTAGCAAGAAAGTGCTGTAAGGATGCAAATTACTTTTCCTATTTTTCTTTTAATTTTAAGTAGCCTTCCTTTAACTTAACTTTCTTTAATTCCCTCCAACTTAACCAGCTACGGCAAAGAAAACTATATATATATATATATATATACACGTATGTACCTAGTACGAGTATGACCGCGACACTCAACGCAGTGGAGGGGATAGCGCTGGCGATCAGCAAAGTAGGGGGGGGCAGGGACCGCCAGTTTGCCACCTCTAGAAAGTGCAAAATGTAATGTACACTTGGAACAAAAGCAGAATTGAAACGAGCTCGATGCAACGACAACTCAAAGAAAGAAGAATCGAGAGTATACGACTGCGAAAACGTCCCATTACTTACGAGTAACCCTAATAAAACAACAATGAATGACACGCGTATTTCTTACGCTCTACCGTTCTTTTCTGTTCTATATCAAGACCAAATGTTAGCATGGTAAATTGCATCGCGAGGGATTCGTTTGTTCGGGCGAAGCTTGTTAAGCTACGGCTCGTGTACTCTTCCCTCGCTATCTCTGTCTCTATCTCTGGTCGCAGTGTCACACAAACGTGATAAAGGCGCGGTCGCTGCGTCAAAAATAACGTAAAAAAATGATTATTTATTATTCGCGCGGGGAATTGTAATTTGCGGGACGACATAAATTCGCGTAATCGGCTCACCTCGGTATATCGTAGCTATTCCGATCTCGCTACGGTTCGCGTTCGCTTCTTCGCAAGCGTTTTATGCGATCGTAAACAAGTTGGTAACGTCTTACGCGTAGGAGGGAACGGTAGATCAGAGGGTAGTAGCGTTTCTATTGCCGCACAGCCGTTTCTGCGTCTCTTTCCTTGCGCGTGTATGTTCGAAACAGTTTTCACTTCCGCGCCAGCTTCTTCGCGACTCGCGTGCTTCCGGATTCGAGGATCGAACGTTTCGATTCTCGTGGTTTATAGTCCTGGTAATTTATAATATATAATTATAAATATATTTATATAATTTATTTGTAGTGTATAAGCTTCAACTCTGCCACTTTCTATTCAAACTGTACGTTCCTTTCATACGACATTTGATTCAGCAAAATGCAGAGAATACAGGGAAAAGAAGAGATGTTCAAAATATTCCTCATTTTGTGCCAGGCGGTGGTAACTTGACCAGTATATTGATCATTATATACTACAACGCTTTCGTATCCAAAAATGTTCCAATTCCAAACACAAAGTGAATATCGAGAAAGAACTGGAAGAACCGGATGGAATGGAATTGTGACGTTTGCCGGTAAGAGATGTGAAACGATACACGCGAGTTGCAGCGCGACACGATGGATAGGAGACGATTCAGAGATACGCGATCGAGTAGAAAATCTCCTCAGTGTCTGAGGGAGAGAAGCAGCGAGGGAGGTGAGAAGTGGTTCTCGCGGATGATGCGAAGATCGTGGCTGGCGAGAGGGACAGCGAAGAGAGGAGAGCTAGGAGGATCTCGGAGGAGTTCGAGAGTCTTTCTGTCTGCCCGTCCGTGTCCCTTCCCTTCCCAACCTACGGTTTCGCACCTACGTGAATGTCACATTGTTTCCAAGCATCCACCCTCGTGCGAAGCGCAGCAAGAGAGAGGAGAGAGAGACTGCTACGGGAAGGGAAGGGAAGGGGTGTGGTCGCTCGCGCGACTCTGCGTTCTTTGTTCCCCTTTGCTCCGTTTCTATCTCTTTCGAATTTATTCGCCGACCAGCGAACGACGGAGAACGTTTCGTATACATCCCTGATGGCTGTGCGACTTTTGTTGCAAAGAGTTGCAAAGTCTGCAGGAAGAGGCAGAATGAGAAGGGGATGTGTGTGTGTGTGTGTGTGTGTGTGTGTGTGTGTGTGTGTGTGTGTGTGTGCAGTTGGCACGCGCGCAGTGATATTAATTAACACGACATGGTAGTAGCCGAGAGTAGGGTGGATAACTGGGTGGTCGACCGCCAGTGGGTGTGGGTGTAACAGCCCTGAAGACAGAGGAGGAGGAGGAGGAGGTTGGTCTCGTCGCGGCGTCGGTGGTTTTCGCGTCGCGTGACTCGTGATCCGTGGATCAAAAAAAAGAAAAACACCTGCGTGCAGAGGTTAAGGACAGGTTACGCGAAGAGAAAGACACAGGTATCGAGCCAAGGTGCGAGGAAAACAACTTTTACCGTTTTACCTTCTTTGCTCCAACGGTATTTCACGGTCACCTTCGGCAAAAACAGTCGACTTTCATTTTTCCAAGAAGCATCGATCTCCGTCGATGCGAAAATTATTAACACCACCGACGTGTTGATCGTCGAACGATGGACTCGAACAGACGCGCGAGTATCGCGAACAAGTATTATTTAGACCGGAATCGTTGGAGAAAAAGGGGGGGAACGAATTTGCTCGAGGTAAAGAGCTCGCGCTCGTAACAGTGTGCCGAGATGGTACAAATTTATGTGACAACTGACGAGATACAGCCGGAGTTCTCGCGGCCTTAAACCATGTCGCAGACGCGGTTGCAACGTGCACATGCAACGGTACATGCACGATGCAGTTGCGTCGATGTGCCGGGAATACGCAGGCGGGCGCAACAGTGGCTAAAAAGATCCGGGCGGACGGTTAAAAACCGGTTTCATTCGCCGCGGAAGGCGTCTCGGTAGTTTCTACGGGCTTCGATTTCATTCCTAATGGCCCCGATGAAATTCATCCTACGATCGTTCGGCGCTCGCGTATCTCTCTCCTCTGCGCCATTGCGTGCAACGTTCACCGCGAATTTTTCCATCGCGTTCGCGCTGGATGGACGTCGGTTATAAATTCCCTTCTATCTACCATTTGTCGAGAGCGGGCGTATCTCGTCGCATTGTCTTCGAGACGGAGACGCCACCGCGTCTTCCGTCTAAAACAGCCGCCAGTGGCAAGTTGTCTAATTTTGTCAATCAACGTCGAGAAAACAACAGCCGAGGCATTGATCGAGCGATCCGGCGCGAATTGGAGGAGCGAGAATATGTTGCGAGCCAGTTCGTATAACCGTTTTGAAGTTGATTGCGTCTACAAAAAGATTTGCAAGAAACTCGCAACATTACCAGAGAAGAAAAATAAATCTTCTGTGCAATGAATGTTCGGCAAATACTCGAATCGTTGGCTTAAAGCGATCTTAATCGCAGCTTGCGCGTAAAAAAATCGTCAATTAAAACCTTTGAGTTACAATATAGATTTCCACTTGAAACAAAAGGCAAATGAAATATGCGTTTGAATTTTCAAATTTCAATCCCTTATACTGTTGATTAACAAATAGAAATTACGTTCTCTCTTTAAACAAGTAACACGTGTGCAAAAATATCTCCTGAACGATTTTTCGATTTAAAGAGCAATGTATTAAAAAACATACTTCTATTATTACAATCTTCTACAATCTTCTATTATTAGAAAATAATTATTATTTCAAGTGTTGCTTCTTTCCAAACCATTCAGACTTTGTAGAAAACATTTTTTTTTGATATAATTTATCGCTCAGAAAGTATCTCAGCTTTTTGTGCGACTCACCCGGTATAATGCTATTTTCGATGCTTCGCATTAAACAGGTTAGACGTAACACGTTGTGATAAATCACGTTTACCAAAGACTGAGAAGAAAATCGTAAGGGGTTAATGAGATCTCTCACGTCTCTCAGGAGAGACAAAAAGACGAGGTAGTACAGTGTAGGGAAATTTCGTTGGAAAGCTCAATTCCCGACGAATGCGACAAATTCGTTCCTCTTGTTCGACGAT